AAGAAAAAACAATCAGATTTACTTTTATTGAAATCAGTTGACTTACCCAAATTATCAATGGACATTCACATACACCTAAATAAACAAAAAACTAGATTTATAAAGTTGATATAAATCAGCTGATTTACCCGACATTTTAATGTTTATTCATATAGACCTAAATAAACAAAAACAAATTAGATTTGAGTTTATATAAATCAATTGACTTACCAGAAATTGTAATCGATATTCATATACACCTAAATAAACAAAAAGAAATTAACTTTAGGTTTATATAAATCAGTTGACTTACCAGAATTATTGATGGACACTCATATAGACCTAAATGAAGAAAAAACAATCAGATTTACTTTTATTGAAATCAGTTGACTTACCAAAATTATCAATGGACATTCATATACACCTAAATAAACATAAAAAACTAGATTTATAAAGTTGATATAAATCACTTGACTTACTCGACATCTTAATGGATACGTATATACACCTAAATAAAGAAAAAAGAATTAGCTTTAAGTTTATATAAATCAGTTGACTTACCAGAATTAGTAATGGACATTCATATAGACCTAAATAAACAAAAAGAAATTAGATTTAAGTTTATATAAATCAGTTGACTTACCAGAATTAGTAATGGATATTCATATAGATCTGAATAGACAAAAACAAATTAGATTTGAGTTTATATGAATCAATTGACTTACCTGACATTTTAATGGATATTCATATAGACCTAAATAAAGAAAAAAGAATTAGCTTGAAGTTTATATAAATCAGTTGACTTACCAGAATTAGTAATCGACATTCATGTGGACCTAAATCAGGGGTGGCATTTCTCATTTTTTAAATGGGTTTACAAAAGTCAAAATGGGGTGCATTTGGGGTACATTCCAATTTAAAAAGGGGTACATCAATGGGGTACATGATTTTACTCCTGAAGTAAAGTATTTAATTGAGAAACCTGCTGAAACGACACTGCTTTTGTAGAGAACAGAATCATATTTCACTGTTGTTTTTCAATTAGATAGGCTTAACTGTTTACATTGTTTCAATTAGCTTTGTGTTAATTGATTGTTGAGTTTGAAATTGGAAAATAACATTATAAATAGACAACGAAGATTACCATCAAATTCATTAAAGAGAAAATACCCATGTAAAAAAAAAAGTTATAGGAAAAGGTTAAAAATCAGATTAAAAATCGATTATAATGGCACTATTATAATCTGATTTTAATCAGGTTTGTCAGCCTTAAAAGACAGATTTTATTTGATTTAATCTTTTTTAATCTATTTTAATTGATTATTAAAATTAAATCAATTATAATTTATTATGAAAAATCGATTTTAATTGATTAAAGTTTTTTTAACCGCTTAAAATAGATCAAAGAGGGTTAAATCCAATAAAATTTGTCTTTTAAGGCTGGGAAATCTGATTAAAATCAGATTATAATAGTGCCATTATAATCGATTTTTAATCTGATTTTTAACTTTTTCTTATAACCTTTTTTTACATGGGTATCTGCAATTAGAGATATATCTAATAGAATATGTATTTGCCAAATAAAAAAGAAAAATTAATGAAACACGGAGAAATCAGATAAGGAGAAATGTTTAAGTCTTATTTCGGTGTTTATAACGATAATAGTATGAACAACCAAGTATTTCAATCCGACACTGAACAAAGCAGATGTAGAAATCTATCGATCATTTGTTAACTGATACTTTTTTAGATGGATAGAAGTGAAAAGACTAGTGGGAAAACACACTTTCTTTACCTTGATATGGTGTTTTATCACATTCCAGACTTAAAAATCGAAATGGGGTACGAAATTTTCTGGGGTACAAAATGTCGAAATGGGGTATTGTACCCCAAAATGGGTACGGTTGGCAGCCCTGACCTAAATAAAGAAAAATAAATTAGATTTAAGTTTATATAAATCAATTGACTTACCCGACATTTTAATGGATATTCATATACACCTAAATAAACAAAAAGAAATTAGTTTTAAGTTTATATAAATCAGTTGACTCACCAGAATCAGTAATGGACATTCATATAGACCTAAATAAAGAAAAAAAATTAGATTTAAGTTTATATTTATTGAAAGCTATGAACTGCACATATATAATCAAACATGTTGCATGAAAGCTCTAAGTGCTTTCGATTCTCTAATAATCCCAGAAGTGAAGAACAGAACCATGGCCCAAACATGAATTTGAAACGCGAACTTTCTGCATTGGAAAAATTGTTGTGCTCTAAAACGCTTTAGAGACTTATTGTGAAAGTTTCCAAGCCTAGAAAGTGTGCAGTAGTTAAGTGAAGTTGGAAAGCTGATTTCTGTTTTTCACTATACCTTTTCGAATTTCAGAAATTTCAGAAACCGTTTAGGTTTCCGAGAAAGCCATTCGAAAACGCTTTTGGTTTCCGAGAAAGTGATTCGGAAACCGAAAGGATATTCTCAGGTACCACTTAGGGTTTTCGAGCTTTCGAAATCTCTTTAGGTTTCCGAGAAAGTAGTTCGGAAACTCTTTTTGTTTTCGAGAAAGTGATTCGGAAACCAAAAAGGTATTCTCGGGTACGAGTTAGGGTTTCAGAGCTTTCGGAAACTCTTGAGGTTTCCGAGATAGTGATTCGGAAACCGATAAGGTATTCTCGGATACCTCTTTAGATACCCAAACAACTTTTAGGACAGAATTGGTTTCCTAAAATACCCAACAGGTTTCCGAAAATACTAATTTGGTTTGCGCCAATGATGAAAAGGTATTCTAGAATACCCTACGCGCGTCGAATTCAGTACTCTCGAAAACCAAAAGGTTTCCGAAACCTCGGAAACCAGTAAGGTACTTTCGAAAACGATTTCGGTGATCGGAAACCCTTTCGGAAACCAAAAAAGGTTT